GAATCCCTACAGTGTGGAAGCAGGCTATTCAGCCCATCTGAGTCCACGCTGACCCTCCGAAGAGCACCCCATCCACCACCCTCTGCCCCCCACCCTATCCCCATAATCCTGCATTTCCCATAGCTAACCCACCTAGCCTACAAATCCCTGAACACAATGGGCAATTTAGCACAGCCAGTCCACCTAACCTGCATGTCTTTGGACCATTGGAGGAAACCAGAGCACCTGGCAGAAATCCACACAGAAACGGGGAGAATGTGCAAACTCCGCATAGGCAATTGCCAAGGGTAGAATTAAACCCAGGCCCCTGGCACTGAGGCAGCAGTGCTAACCACTGAGGAACCATGCCACCCCAAGTTTCCCAACAATTAGAGCAAACAATATCTTCAACAAAACTATCCAAAACTTCTGACTGATATAGTTGGCTAGCTGCACATAACAAATCAAGCAAGACTCCTCAAAATTTGGGTAAAAAAAAAAATGGTTAACCCTTAATGGCCGCAGGTATCAAGATAAATTCTTACTTGCATACCAAGGCATTTCAAAGCAAGAGCTTCTCATCATCCATGGCTTTTGTTTTGAATTTCTATGATCCTGAATGATGGGAGCTTTGATTGTCTCATGTGAAGTTGTATTGACCTAGTCTTTACTGACATTAAATAACTTAATGAAACAAATAAACAAGTGCGTGTGTCTGTGTGTGCAGAATGGCACCAGGCGATTCCACTGTCTTTTCAAGATAGCTATTTGCAGGACATGAACAATGAAGCTTCACAGAGTCCAAGTGAAGAAGCTCCTGAAAAAGGCAGTGTTGCTCCTGATATGATCCATCCCTCTTCAGAAGGTTCTCAACAACTAAAACCAACGTCTTGAGCAGACCATCTGCTCGATATGTCCCAAAATTCTTTACAGCCAAGAAGCAATTATGAAGCACACAGTCACTATTGTTACGTAGTCAAGCAGAGTTGCCAATTTTGTTCAAAAACAAGCAAATAAGATGAATGACTGGTTAGTCTGACTCTGAACTTAATGGGTGTTGATTAAGTGTGGGAAGTTGTTTAGAGCAGAGAACTCCATGCTCTTCGATAAAAAATACCACAACCCTACATATTTGTTGCTCAAAACATTAAAACATTTCAAAAACCTTACCAGAATTACAACAACATTCTACCGTTGACAAAGAAAAAAAAAAGGTTAAATTTATCTTCGGTCGAACGTTATATCAGAGAACATAAAAGCCTCAAAACAGACAAAGCTAAAATTGGTAACAAATATTAGGAGAATTAAATATAGCATTTAGGAAAAGTATCATAATCATTGAAAGTTTCAGATCAGTGAAATCAGTCAGTCGTTCTCTCACTGCATATGTAATATCCCAGTCACAAATTATTCTATACCCCCCACTCCTGCAGCTCATTTTCAAGACAATATGTAATAGTAACTGTAAGAAACAAAAACAGAATTGCTGGAGAAACCCAGCAAGTCTGGCAGCATCTGCAAAGAGAAACAGAGTTAATACTTCGAGTCCAGTTACCATTCTTCAGAATTGTTGTGTTTAATTGTAATGCTAACTGATTTGAACTTAATTGCCCAATCCAAATGATGAAGAGCCTAAAAATTCACAAGTTATGTGGGGTAAACAAAAGGAAGTGAAATGAAGGGTTTTACATTTGTCATGTGGAGAAATACAAATACAATATGAAAAAAAAAAAGAAGAAAAATCAATGCCACAGCTCTGGAATGCAATCTGTGCAAACAGAACAAGGAGCATCACCAACACTGCTCAGTGATGCCCAGTTTGGGTTCCGCCAGGGCCACTCAACTCCTGACCTCATTACAACCTTGGTTCAAACATGGGCAAAGCTGAATTCCAGAGGGGAGGTGAGTGTGACAGCCATTGACATCAAAGCTTCATTTGATCGAGTGTGGCATCGAGGAACTCAAGCAAATGAGTATCAGGGGGCAAACTCTCTGCTGGTTGCAGTCAGACCTGGCACATAGAAAGAGGGTCATCGCTGTTGAAGGTCAGTCATCTCCATTCCAGAACATCTCTGCAGGAGTTCCTCAGTGTAGTGTCCTAGGCCCAACCATCTCCAGCTGCTTCATCAATGACCTTCCCTCCATCATGGGGTCAGAAGTGGGGATGTTCACTGATGATTGCAGAACAATTCGCACCATTCACAACTCCTCGGCTACTGAAGCAGTCCATGTTCAAATGGAAAAAAGGTCTGGACAATATCCAGGCTTGGGCTGACAAGTAGCAAGTAACATTCATGCCATTAAGTGCCAGGCAATGGCCATCTCCAATAAGAGACAATCTAACCACCACCCCTTCACATTTAATGATGTTACCATCACTGAATCCCCCACTATCAACATCCTTGCGACTACCATTGACCAGAAACTCAACTGGACTTGCCACATAAACACAATGGCTACAAGATCAGGACAGAGACTAGGAATACCCTGCTGAATAACTCCCCTCCGGACTCCTCAAAGCCTGTCAATCATCTACAAGGCACAAGTCAGGAGTGTGATGGAATAATCCCCACTTGCCTGGATGGGCGCAGCTCCAAAAACACAAGCAGCCCACTTGATTGGCACCACACCCACAAACATCCCACTCCCTCCACCACCGACGCTCAGTAGCAGCAGTGTGTACTATCTACAAGATGCACTGCAGAAATTCACCAAAGATCCTCAGGCGGCACCTTCCAAACCCATGACCACTTCCATCTAGAAGGACAAGGGATGCAGATATATGGGAACACCATCCCCTGCATGTTCTCCTCCAAGCCACTCATCATCCTGACTTGGAAATAGATTGCTGTTCCTTCACTGTCGCTGGGTCAACTTCCTATAATTGCCTCCCTAAGGGCATTGTGGGTCAACGCTCAACAGGTGAACTACTGCAGTCCAAGAAGGCAGCTCACCCTCACCTTCACTGTAAGCAGGGGGGCAGCAAACAATTTAGAAAGTACTTGCTATGTCAACCTGTGTCACAAGAGGATTGGAGTTCAGAAGCAAAGAGCTATTGCTTTAATTATTTAATTCTGGTGACATCGCACCTGAGCGAGTATGTGCAGCTCTTGCTCGAAAAGAAAAATGAACAAAGAACAAAGAACAAAAAAGGGAAGTACGGCACAGGAACAGGCCCTTCGGCCCTCCAAGCCTGTGCTGATCATCATACCCTAACTAAACTAAAGAAAACAAACCTTATGCCTTTATTCAGTCTGCAACCTCTATTCCCTCCCTATTCACGTAACCATCCAAATGCCTCTTAAATATCACCAACGTGCCTGCTTCCACCACCTCCTCTGGCAGTGCATTCCAGGCTCGTACTACTCTCTGCATGTAAAACATTCCTCGCACATCTCCCTTAAACTTTCTCCCCCTCACCTTGAAGCTGTTACCCCTTGTAATTGAAATTTCAACCCGAGGAAAAAGCTTCTATCTACGCCTCTCAGTTTTGTAGACCTCTCTCTATTAGGTCTCCTCTTAGCTGCCATTTTTCCAGGGAAAACAATCCTAGTCTTTTTAACCTTTCCTCACAGCCAATGTCCTCGAGACCATGCAACATCCTGGTGAACATTCTCTGTATTCCTTCCAAAGCTTCCATGTTCTTCTGGTAATGTCACAACCAAAACTGCACACAATACTCCAAATGCGGCCTAACAAGGGTTTTAACATAGCTGCAACATGTTTTGTGAACTGTTGTACTCCATTCCCGGCCGATGAAGGCAAGCATGCCATATGCCTTCTTAATCACCTTGGCCACCTGTGTTGCCACTGTTAGGGAACTGTGGACCTGCATGCACAGATCCGTCTGTATGTTCATGTTCCTAAGGGTTCTGCCATTTACAGTATAATTCGCACCTAAATTTGATCCCCCAAAAATCCATCACCTTGCAATTCTTTGGATTAAACTCCATCTGCCTAAGTCACGGATCTATCTATATCCTGCTGTATCCTTTCACAACTCGTCAGCGCTTATCAGCAACTCCACCAATCTTCATGTTATCTGCAAACTTAATAATCAGACCACCCAGATTTTCCTCCAGATCATTTATATATACTACAAAGCAACAGGGGACCCAAGACTGATCCTTGTGGAACACCACTAGTTGCCAGTCTCCATTCCAAAAAACACCCTTCCACCACTACCCTGTCTTCTATGACCAAATAAAGGATATACTGGCCAGAGAGTGCGCAACAGAGGTTCAGGTGGGACTAACTATGAGGAGCAATTGAGGAGCCTGAGCCTCTATTCTCTAAGGTTTGGCAATCTCAAAAGAAACTCGCAAAATTCTTAGAGAAAGTGTGTGGTCGGAGAAAGATGTTTCCCCCAAGCAGTAGGATCTAGATCCAGGGGACAGTCTCAGAATAAGAGGCAAGCCGTTTGGACTAAGGTGAGAAGGAACTTCCTGACTTAGAGGGCAGTAAATCTTTGGCATTCTCTACCCCAGAGGGCTGTGGAAGCTGAGTCATTAAGTAATGGCAAAGACTGACAGATTTCTAGCTATGACATCAAGGAAAACTGGATAGCACAGGATTATGGTGTTGTGGTTCATCACCAACAATGATCAAGAATGGCAAAGCAGGCAATGGGCTCAATAGCCTATCCTGCTTGCATGCTCTTAACAGACTGTGCATTCATTTCAGAAGCAAGTTCCCGACTTGCAGATTTCTGAATGCTGTGCAAAATGCAATGAGACAGCTAGCCAATGGACTTCCTCTGGACTGATACAGAACAAAAATCTACATCATTATATTTGTTCCAATTATGAATAGTTTATATATTAAAAAAAACACGATTACTGTTCAAAATAATGCACTGAGAATTTGAGATGCTCTTTAAAGTGCTTCCCTGCAAGGCCATTTAGCTGCCATTCTGTTGGAAGGAATAAGAGGCCGAATGGGACACCTGTTCTGTCACTTGTTCTCCCACCCGTGATCACACCAAAGGCAAAACATGGGCCTTCTATCTTGGTTTATTTTTCCAAGACTTCTTTCTAGATCAAAAAAAAACAGGTATTAGTTTTCCACAGTGGCTTAAAGGGAGGAGAGTCCATTTTGCTAGTCTTCACATTCATCCAATAGGTTGTGCCAAATATACAAATTGGGAATGGCAGGAGCAAACTGAGAATTATACACTGCATGGTTAAAGTGTACCTGGTAAATATTCAATGCACACCACACATATAAAGAACATACACTTGAATCAGGTGCTAGAGAAAGGCCAGTACTTCAGGAGAGAACAGGTGGAAAACAATTGAGCAAGAGGCATCACAAGGGTATGCCTTCATGGGGAGTGGAGACTGTAAAGATCAACCATTGTACATTGCCTTTCCAGACTAATAAAAAGAACTACCCAAACTCATAACCAGACCCAGGAGCATCCTGTTGAAGTCAATATGTAGAATAAACAGGATATGATAAATGGATTATTACTGCCAGCAGCAAAATTCACAAAAATCTCAGGCAGATTGCTTGAATTTCAATTTGTTTAACTGACCTCAAGGGAATCATTCAAAATTCAAGGGGAGCACGCAGCAAAAAAAAAATAATCAGGCAAATGTGTGTGAAAACAAAAACACATTGGACAATAATCAGGGCTGTGCCAGCAATCAGCCGTAAGGGGCAGGGCACAGCATTTTAGCTTCGGTTCCCTCTGTCTGACATTACAAAGAGGATGTGGGATGTGGAGGAGGGAAAAAGGAGTGCCATGTTAGCATAACAGGGACAGGGAGGAGAGAAGGGAGATTTCAAAGCAAACTGATTTGCTGCAGGAATTTGAATTGTGTGTCTTCAAAGACAGGTTTATTTATTTATAAACACAAGCTCAGCATTCGACTTTTTTTTAGAAACAGGAAACAGACCACAAAATGACCACAATGTCTGAATAGTTCAAGAGATTTTCAGCATTCAAAAAAGATGAAGGAAAGGTATCAGAAGTTAATTTTTATACAGCAAACAATCCATTAGAACAAAAATGTCCAAAGGATACACTCAGTGAGGCACACTTTAGCACGTGTGTGGAAGAATAATTTTTGGGGAATTTAGACAGATTGGAAAAGTTGTATACATACACAGATGTATTCTTTCCTCTCCACATGACCTCAATAAAACAGTTGTAGGAGTGACAAGACCCGCGAGTACTTTAAGCAATATTTTCCATTAAAACGAACAAGGATACAAAACACAATTAGACCAAAAAAAACTTGTCCTGTTCATTGATGCAGATTTGCAATATGTGAAACCAAAACCTTGTCCATTATCAGAGCTGGAGAGACCATTTCTGTACATTACCTGTGGTTCATTACTGGGATGGCAAATAAAATTTATGATTCAGATTGTGGAAAATAGTTCAGTGTGTTTGAAAGATGCAATGCTTGATGCTTAAAAGGTGAACGAGTTAGATGCTAGCCAACAGCAAATTGATTCCCACAAGCATGTTATTCCAGTATATTACTTTACCATCACTTGTCTTACAGGGGGCCAAAGATTCTTCATTCAAAGTAAAGGCATTTCTTTGTTTCGTAGCTAGATTTTCAGTTAAAAGTCAACTTTCAAGCAATCTAAATTTTGCACAACAATTAACAGGCATCCGGATGGGTCTATGAATAGGTAGGGTTTAAGAGGGATAGGAACCAAATGTTAGCAAATGGGACTAGATCAGTTTAGGATATCTGGTCGACATGGATTAGTTGGACCAAAGGTGTTGTTTCTGACTAAGTTAGGTGCATGACTGGAGAATTTTGGCTTTTCTTGCTCCAGTGCTGGATTTAAGCTTTTCATTCCTTCTATAACAAATGATACTGACAAACATATCCTGTCCCAAATCAAAAATGCAGCAAAAGACCTGAAGATTACATTATCAAAAACCAAAAAAACAGACCAAGTGTGCAAAAATATTTGTTCAGTCTTTGTTTTGTATCACTTGGACTTCTTCCATTGCCTCCTTCACTTTCCAAATTTAAACCAGAACTCCACACTTTAAAAATTGAAGTGAACAGCTACTATACAGAATTCCATAGATGGTGTGGCCGTTCTTTCTAAAGATAAGGAAGGGATTTGAGTAATGCGTGCAAGTTAAATAATTTCCTAAACCTTACATGGCGATGAATTGCCTTTCTGTGCATTGCAGTGATGGTCTTGTTATATTTTTGTAAACATTAGCAGGCTCCATGTTGTACACATCTTGATGATGGGAGGAAGTCTAAAGCATTGGGATAGCATCAAAAAATTAAAATTCAATTTGCAAATAAAGACTACTGTCCTACAGAAAAAAAAATGGAGGGAAAGGCCAGAACCAAAGGCTTTTCCCAGACCTTCAGGATATATTGCTCACTTGGAAATGAACAAAAACTTTACTTGGATGCGAATATCTCAGAAATTTTGGAAAATAAAATTCATTTAAGTATAGCCACATTCCTTTCAATGAAGGAATACATGCATATTCCAGAATAAAAGGTGACAAGAAAGGCATATTGTTAGAGTCACATTGACTGCACTGCATGATTTTACACATTATAATCCGCCCTCATCTTACTCCTACCATCATCCAACCATTGCAGGGATCCACAACAACTCTGCCCATTGTCCTTGCTTGGGACGCAATCATTTGCTTTAAGTTTAATTCGACTTCCTGCCATCTCATGACCCGTTAAATATTGTTTGACATAACACACAATCACCATCAATCCACCTTTCGGGCATCACCCTCTTTATATATTAAAAGGAAAATTACCAATTCCTAAATATGATTGGGTAAAGTGGAAGAGAGTCTTTGGAACGAAGCAGAGGTTGAGAGGGAGGAAGGTTGTGAGGTGGTTTTTTTGTTGTTTGAGTGCCTCACCTCTGTGTCTGAGAGACGCACCACCAAGCCCAGGCCCATCCTCCAATGACATACTGCTTCTGATCTGATCCACAGCAGCCACCTGGAACAGAAGGAACAAACATTGTGCTACTAAACCGGACCAGTTTTAAAACAAGATTTTTTTTTAAACTTCCCTTGTATGAAACAGAGTTAGATGATTGACCCTGTAGAGATTGCAACTATGACAATTGTACAGAGGTGGCAGGATTCAGTAACAAGATGATACAGACAGCAGAGGTGAACAGGCATCTCTAGAAAGTGGTCATGTGCTTTCCATCGGTAGAAAACACAAACTTTACCAACACTACCATGAATTCCTAAGACAGTTTTGCAGTTTGGGAGAAGTTAAATGAAGCTAACTCAGCCAAAGGGCCATGAATGATCTTTTCAAATAAAATTACTGGTCATTTTGAAAAGGAAATTAGTAATATTTAGTACCAACATTGTAGTAAACCCCTGTGAGGATTCCTGTAGTAAATTTTTGATATCCCATCACATACCAATGCACAATTTCCCAAAACTATTACTCATATCATAGCGGTAGCAAGTACTGCAGATACTGGAGTCAGAGACAACACAATGTGGAGCGGGAGGAACACAGCAGGCCAGGCAGCATCAGAGGAGTGCGAGAGTTGACGTTTAGGGTCGGGATCCTTCTTCAGAAATAGGGAGGGGGAAGGGAGCTGGGAAATAGGAAATAAATAGAGGAGGGGTGAGGCTGGGGAAGGTAGGTGGGATGGTGATAGGTGAGTGCAGGTAGGCAGTGGTGGGAATTGGTCATTGAGGTGGGAGGGGCGGATGGGTGGGAGAGAAAATGGACAGGTTGAGTCAGGTCAAGGAGGCAGGGATGAGAGGAAGGGTTGGTCATGGGATGAGGCTGGAGGAGTAGGGGGTGGGGAGATTTTAAAGCTGGTGAAAGGCCTCTCCATCTCCATTTCTGGTCTGCATCTGCTCCCAAGATGGAACGTTCCACTCCCAAACATCCCAGATGTTCTCCTATATCAAGGACCGCAACTTTTCTCTCCGGTGATCAAAAATGCCCTCAAACCCCCTCCTCTTCCCCCCCACCAACAAAAATAAAGACAGAATCCCCCTTGTCCTCACTACCACCCCAATAACCTCCACATCCAGTGTATCATTCTCCGCCACTTCTGCTGCTCACTCTGCGACTCCCTCGTCCACTCCACATTCCCCATTAACCCCATCACACTGCAGGAAGTGCTACACCTGCCCCTACACCTCCACCTCAACTCCATTCAAGGCCCACAGCAAACCTTCCACGTCAGACAGGAGTTCACCTGCGCATCTGTCAACTTGGTCTACTGTATCCGCTGCACCCGATGTAGAGGAAGCCACATTGGTGAGACCAAGTGTGGACACGGAAACCGTTTCATAGAGCATCTGCATTCTGTACACAACAAACAACAACACCTTCCAGTCACCAACCACTTCAACTTTCCCTCCCCGGATGACATGTCCATCTTGGGCCTCCTCCCGTGTCACAATGACACCATCCGCAAACTGGAGGAGCAGCACCTCATATTCCGCCTCGGGAGCCTACAGCCTGATGGCCTAAACATAGAACTCACCGGATTTAAAATCTCCCCACCCCGGCCTCATCCCATGTCCAACCCTCTCTCTCATCCCCGCCTCCTCGCCCTGACACAATCTGTCCATCTTCTCTCCCACTGATCCGCCCTACCCATCCCACCACTCCCTACCCACACTCACCTATCACCATCCCACCTACGTTCCCCAGCCCCATCCCTCCTCTAATTATTTCAGAACTCCCTTCCCTCTCCCTATTTCTGAAGAAGAGTCCCGACACGAAACATCAACTTTCCTGCTCCTCTGATGCTGCCTGGCCTGCTGTGTTCCTCCAGCTCCACACTGTGTTGACTCATATCAAAGTTCATTTTTGGCATTTGTCCCTTTGGATAGTGCAACAGTTGAACAGAAGAGCATTACTCCACAAGAACAGAGATCAGGAATGTTGATTCAGAGCTCCTGATCGTGGGCATAATACATAGACATCTCTCTGAAGCAGGTGGTACACGGTGGGTAAACTAATGCGAGTTCTTCCTTCAGCCCCTCCATCAAAATTCTGAACAGCATTGAATTTCAGCAAATTTAATCTTGAACAGAGGGCATGTGGTTCAAGTGAAGTAACTGGGGTGAAGGGAAGAGAGAGGGAGACAAAAAAGGAGAAGCAGGGAGGTAAGTGAGATGGGGGGTTAAGGGAACAACAGAGGAGGGAAGAGGTTTTTCTGCAAGGGTTAAGTAAGATTACAACAACATATCTTGCACAACAATGCCTCTACCAATTTCAAATGTTTCTCATTGGCATATCTTAGTTACTCATCAGAAGCATTCAGAACAGTCTGGGTTTGAACATCAGGCTTTCAGCTACCACAAGGTTTTGATACGTCTCCAAATCTAGCACAAAGCATTTGTGGTTAACGAAGTTACAGTATTGCAATTGGCCTGTCACCATCAGAAAATACAACTTTCAGTTCAAGCCACAAAGTGTTTCCTACCTGTTGAAATGCTGTAGATAAAACCCCCTCTGAGAAAATAATTGAGCACAAGTTGGAAGGGATGCTTTTGCTAAATTTTTCTCAACAGTCTCAAGGTCGCTGACTGAGGAATTGGATAACCACAGAGTAACTTTCACATGCACTGCACCTTTAACATAGCAAAGCCCGGTGCATAATAGGACAAATGACTTTGAAACAACACTTTTGACAAAATTTTAAGAGGCACGCATGGAGAAATGGAGAGGTTTAGCAAGGTAATTCCAGAGTTTAGGCCCTCTGGGTGAAGGCTTGACCAGCAATGGTGGAGCTATTAAAATCAGGGAAAAGAGGGAAGCCAGAATTGGAGAGGTTGAGAGGCCCTGGAACCATGTGGGAAGATAGGAAGAGGCAAGGCATTGGAGGGATTTGAATGTAAGGATGTTAACTTCAGAACTGAGATGTTACTGGATCTGGAACCAATGTAGGGTGATTAGTACTTAGTGTCAATCAAAATACAGGCAGCAGAATTTTGAACAAAGGCCATGCTGGCTGAGAGGTGGATGGCCAGTCAGCAAAGCAAAGGAATGTTATGGTCTAAAAGGTAACAAAGCCATGGCTAATCAATTCAGTGGCAGATGAGTGGGCAGAGTAGGATGCTCTTTAAGCTGGGTGGGTGTGTGATCAGAAACTCACATCAGGGTTAAATACGGGGAGGAGCGGCATGGAGTCTGGGCATTTGGCCTGACTGCTTCTTTTTGACGTTTTCCAAAAACAATTCTCAGCACATCAGCTAAGAGAGAAAAATCTCCCTCCACCCCAAATACAAGATATCTTAACTGTTTGATTTGAGCTTCCAGATTTAACGTGTCTCAGGGAAATACAGAGGATACAAAAACAGAAATTGCTGGAAAGGCTCAGCAGGTTTGACAGCATGTGTTCTTCTAGCAAATTCTGTTTTTGTTTGCTTTCCAGCATCCACAGTTCTTTCAGTTTTTTTTAAAAATACAAGTGGAAGTCTGGTTAACCAGCAGTGATGAACACACAACTGTGGAAAGATTCAACTGGTGTTTTTACTACAAGTACATAATGTCCATGTAATATTTTAGTTCACAGTATAGGACAAGACTGACTGAAGGATAAAGCATTGGGTCAGGCTCAAAACCACTGAAAGCATACTGTCCAGGTGCATAACAGCCTGGTATGGCAACTGCTCTGCCCAGGACCGTAAGAAAATACAGAAGGTGGTGTGCACAGCCCAGATCATCATGGAGACCAACCTCCCATCCATGGTCTCCATTTACACATCGCACTGCTGCAGAAAGGTCGCCAATGTCAAAGACCTCTCCCAGTAATGCTGTCCTACAACCTCGGTCAGGCAGAAGATAGAAGCTTGAACACACGCACCAGCAGATTCAAGAACAGCTTCTTCCCGGCTGTTATCAGACCGACAAATGGACTCTCCAACTTCAAATAATGTTGATCTTGTTAATGTCAATTTTGCCTTACGTATGCCCTGTGCAGTGTGACCTGTACAACTTCCTCTGTCCAAGTTTTTTTTTCACCCTATGATCTGCACGTCCTTGCTTACAATGATCTGCCTGTTCTGCTCATAAACAAAGCTTTTCACCATACTTAATTGTAACAATAAATAAATCAAAACCCTAAAAATTCAGGACATATAGCAAAGTTAGCCACTGTTGTCATATATAGATTTTTAATTGCTTTATCAAAGCAGCTTACTGTTAATATTAGCTTTTAGTCAGCAAGATTTGTGGTTTCAACAAATTAGCTGCACACAAGTGCTTGCAGTGAAACAAAACTAGTTTATACTAATTTCACACCTAACAGTTACACCTATTTTACATATCTATCACTCCTTTACCACTATTATCACTGCCTTCGCCTTTGGCACTGGGCATCCTCACAATCTGTTCCACTTACTCCACCACCTCCATTATCAACATTATTAAAAAAACCACCATTGTCCAGCTCCTTTTAATTCTGAAAAAGTCATACTGAACTCAAAACATTAACTCTGTTTCTCGCTCAACAGATGCTGCTAAACCTGAGTTTATCCAGCATTTCCTGTTTTTAAAATGAGTTTCGATACAATGTAGCCTGATGACGCAGATTTTGAGAATCGCATTTTTATTTTAAAATGGATTCTTGAACACCAAGCTATTTAAATAAAAGTACATCCATTTTACTTTAGTATGTGGCATGATCAAAAGCTTGGCTATCTCCACCTTTGCCTCTGAGCAGTTTATTCTCTCTTTCACCTCCATGAATGAAGTTGTAACTTATTTCATACTAAAAACATATCGATTAAATACTGCAACAAGGTGCATTGAAGTCTCTCTCTTTAAGGTCATACTTAATCTACTTCCTTGCAGATGTCTCATGTGAAGCTTATACTTTTCTCTGCAAATGCAGTGGTTAGAGAGAAGGGAAAATGCTTTCACTATGTTCCCATGAGATAGTGGGATCTGGAGTGCAGCATTCGCTTCCCTTCATTTCCTTCTCCGCTGCCACTGTGCCTCATCAT